TGTTAGAGGCACAGAGAGGTGACCTTGAGGTAGAATCCCTCCGAGAGAAGATCTCCAGTGGGAAGGTTGAGAAGGGTTTGACGGTGTATCCCGACCAGAGTGTGAGATACCAAGACCGTTTGTTTGTGCCGGAGTCTTGCTGAGAGGAAGTAGGCCGAGAGTTCCATCATTCACGCCTTGCGGTGCATCCGGGAGGCACTAGGATGTATCGGGATTTGGGTCGCCAGTTTTGGTGGCGGGGTATGAAAAGAGATGTGGCTGTTTTCGTATTAAGGTGCCTTACTTGTCAATAAGTGAAAGCCGAGCATCAGAGGCCAGCGGGTTTGTTGCAACCCTTGCCTATTGCCGAGTGGAAGTGGGAGCATGTCACTATGGACTTCGTCGTAGGTCTTCCGAGGACTCAGCGGGGTAGTGATGCCATTTGGGTGGTTGTAGACCGGTTGACTAAGTCGGCGCACTTTATCCCTATGAGCATGAGAGATTCGGTAGATCATCTCGCCGACTTGTATATTCGGGACATAGTGAGATTGCACGGGGTCCCAGTGACGATCATCTCAGATAGAAATCCTCGTTTTACTGCTAGGTTGTGGCAGGGTTTGCAGAGTACCTTAGGCACTAAGTTGACCTTTAGTACGGCTTATCATCCTCAGACTGACGGGCAGTCCGAGCGTACTATTCAGATCCTTGAGGATATGCTTTGAGGTTGTGTCCTTGACTTTAGTGGGACGTGGGAGAGGCACTTGCCGTTGGTGGAGTTTGCCTATAACAATAGTTTTCAGTCTAGCATCGGTATGGCACCGTTTGAGGCATTGTATGGCCGATCGTATAGGTCTCCAGTGTGTTGGGCCGAGGTGGGTGATGCACCTTTGTTGGGTCCGGAGTTGGTTAGGGAGACGACGGAGAAAGTTGAGCTTATCCGTAGGAGGCTTGTTACAGCCCAGAGTCGCCAAAAGAGTTATGTCAACTGTAGGAGGAGGCCTTTGGCGTTTGAGGTAGGTGATCATGTTTTCTTGAAAATATCACCTAGGTGAGGTTTGATGAGGTTTGGAAAGGGTGGGAAGTTATCCCCTCGGTTTATCGGTCCCTTTGAGATCCTTGAGAGGATTGGGGAAATTGCTTATCGTTTGGCTTTGCCACCGCAGTTGTCCAGGGTGCATGATGTGTTTCATGTGAGTATGCTTCGGAAGTACGAGCCGGATCCGTCCCATGTGTTGGATTGGACCGACTTAGAGGTAGATGAGGATGTCCCGTATGAGGAGAGACCGGTTCGGGTCTTGGATAGGCGGGATCAAGTCTTGCGAGGCAAGACCATTCCCTTGAAAAAGGTTTTGTGGAAACATCACGGAGTGGAGGAAGCCACTTGGGAACGTGAGTTGGAGGTCCGTGAGAAATATCCGGACTTGTTTGTTGACGTGTAATCATGCATTGGAAATTTTGTAATCTTATTGAACCTTAAGAGCATTATATATGTCTTAAGTTGTAAAACATTGTGAATGTTTTGTTTTATGGAAATATTGTAGAACTTGCCTTAAATTGGAAGTTTGTTATAACATTGTATATGTTGAATGTATTCTAGAAATTGAGATATATCATGAATGTTGAATATGATATAAAATTGTGAAACATGTATGTAGAAATTATTGAATTTTGGGAAAAGCATGTTGTTGATATATATTGAGATATGTGGTGAATTGCCTCTTGAATAGAGATGGAAAGACCGGTAATGGGTCGAGTTGTTAAATTTTGCATTGTAATAATGTTGGGAATTGAGAAAATCTTGTTTTTGAAAAACCTGTATTTAATTTCGATTGACGAAATTCTTTAAGGGGGGAAGGTTATAGCGATCCCGGTTTTCCCTTTCTGTATTTGTTGTATTCTGGACTTTGGTTCCATGGAGTTGGTAGTTGTATCTACCTTGCTGTCGTCCTTTGATTCCATTTGTTTGAGTTATAGGTTGTGTTGGGCTTGGTTGTTACAGGTTGGTAGAGCTTTGGCTCCCATTGTTGTTGCCCAGTTTTTGTATGGTCCGCTCAAGCGGGTCATCCTACGCTCGAGCGTGGTTTACACCCTTCCAGTATTTCGTCTCCCTGGAAAACTTCTGCAGGTGTGTTTTCTACGCTCGAGCGGGTAGTTCTTTTTCTGAAAAGTTCTGGGAGATGAAAATCTACACTCGAGCGGACTGGTATTCGCGCTCGAGCGGATGTACTTTATTCTTGTGTCTTAGAGCTCGAGCGGGCCTTCTTGCGCTCAAGCGTGTCTAGATTTTTGTGCGTGACGCTCGAGCGTCCTGTTCTCCACTCGAGCGGGAATGTCGTATATCAGAAGGCAGTTAGGCATTTTTGAATCACTTTTTACACTCTCTCTCTCTCTTACTTTCCCAAAACCGATTTTGAGAGCCTCTCTCTCTAGAAACTCCCTTCTCTCTAGGGTTTGATCTAGTTAGAGTGCTTCCCTTACCTTTGGCCTTTACAAAAAAGTTGTTGATCGTCGAGGGCTATCTTTTGATCCAAGAATCTCGGGATTTGGAGCGTTTCCGTTTTCTCCATTTTCTTCGTTGGGTGTCAACTTTTGAGGTAGGGATTCCTACTCACTCTTATGGGTTTTAACCTAGATTATTGGGCATTTTGTTAGATGAAATGATTTTGGGACTTAGGGTTTCAAAGTTGTTGATATTTGAACCATTAGGTTAATATTGAGAAATGGGGAAGAAAGCCCTAATTTGTATGTAAATTAATTAGTATAATTAATTTGGAAAAGTTATGGATTTATGGAATTGAGTTGAATATAATGAAATTGGCTCATTATGGGATAGATTAGTGAAGTTGGATTTATTAATCGCTCACTTTTGGAAATATTGATATTTTATCTGTTGGAGCTTTTATTATCTGTTTAGAAATAATTGCTTTGGACTACCGGTGGAGGGTAGTTGTGATTGTTGTAGACAATGCATGATGATTAGACAAACTAAAACTAATCAATTGGATGTGTCATAAAGTATGACGGTTGATAGAATACATTAACGTTATGTATTGATTGATTGTGTATATGACCTATGAGTATATACGTTGTGTGTGTGGGAGGAGATAGGGGATGTACTCCACGGTTTAGGGGAAGATAGGGGATTGACCTCTAAACCGGATGTTGTTTGGGAGGAGATAGGGGATGGACTCCACTGATACAGCTCATATGCTTGTCAGTTAATGTGTTGATATAGCTCATATGCTTATCTATGGAAGTGTTGATATGGCTCATATGCTTATCTGTTGAAATGTTGATACAGCTTGTATGCTTATCTGTTGAGATGTTGATGTAGCTTATATGTTTATCGGATGAAATGTTGATATAGCTGGTATGCTTGTCTAATGTGAAATGGGAGAAGTTTATTATGAGTCTCTATCTCATGTAAATGGTTAGCCAGGTTCTGAGCCGCTGATGTAAATTGTGAAATTGATAAGGAATGGAAAATGAAATGAAACATGAACATAGTGGTCATGTATGGTAATGAATTAAGAATTGGTTTATGGGAATTAGACATTTATCAATTGCTAATGTCTTAATTGCTGCTCATATTGTGTTTAGCATATCTCTACTGGGCGTTGGCTCACCCTATATGGGACATTATTTTTCAGGTACAGGTAGCATGCCACCTCCAAGGACATAGCTTGGGTGATGATGAGAGTTGACGACTCTTTTGTTTATTTTGATTGTATTACATGTATATCAAGCCAAGGGCTTATTTGTATAGAGTTAATACTCTTCTTTTGTGTAACCAAGTGTTGACTTGGAAAGCTGTAAGCCCATAGGGCATTTGCTTTTGTTGTTAACATGTAATACTGTTGTAAGAACTACTCTGATGAATAGAAATGGTTGGTTTCTTTTATATCAATGCATGTCTAATGATGGGTTTTATGTATTATTTTGAGGGTGTTACATATTTAGATTTTTTTTCTTTTTTGTAGCCTTATTATCATATGAATATAAGTTGAAAGTTAAACAAATAAAAAGAATGAGATGGTTGAGAGTGTTTTCTTACTTAGTAGTAAGATTGAAATGGGGTGGTGAAATGATAGGAATAATTCTAGCCTTCTTCTTCCTCTATCCTTCTTCCTCCTTCCTAACTTTAGCTTGTTGCCACCAAATTTTTTTTTTTCTCTCTCATTCCGCTCCGATCAGTGAAGTCAAAAAGAGAGTGTACTAAACACACTTCTATATAGATGATAAGCTAATATTTGCAATCATCTAGCATCCTATCATATTTACCTTGCCCAAGAATAATAATGAAGTCTATTTGCCTAGACTTGCATACAACATAACAAGTGGTGAGATGATTAACCCCCCCACCGGCCACCTACCCCCTCTCCCGTTTTTTTTTTTTTATTATTTGAATTGGATGATAAATTTGTATAATTGTGTATTTATGTAGGTTTCTTAAAATCAATTAATTAAGGTATTTAGCAAGGGTAATTATGAAGTTGAATCCTTATCAAAAATAATTACAAACGACAAACATTGAACACTCACAAAATTATTATTTTTAGTAATATTTTCGTTAGTGTTTTAAATTGGAATAGTTTTTACCTAATTTACTCAATATTGATTTTACTAAATAGTTTAGATAAGATGATTCTATTTACACACCACTAATACTCTCAATACACACCATTAATAGATTAAATTTATAATCCAATAATATCTTTCAATGAAATGACCATTAAGGACAACATGGGGTGTATTCTGCCCATTCAAAAATTTCATATTTAAATATACAAAATATTCTTCACACACCGTCATCCCTATGGGGTTTAGGGTTTTTAGATATAAACATTGTATTTCTTCATCATCTTCATCATTAACATAGACTCATGATATCATTCATTATCAATTAGCTCACTTCATTCTCTTCTCCATTATACTTATTTTTCAAACTCAAACTATTATTGTCTTTGAAGATTTAGGGCTTAAGAGTATTGAAATCAATTAGTTTTGAAGATTTGCACACCATGAATGACACTGAGATGGTTGATTCTGATATAAATATTGAAAACGTTGATTTCAACATTGAAAAGGTTAATTTATGACTTAACATTTTGGTCTTTTATTTGTCTCGTTCGTATGTTAGGAAGATGAGTTGGAAAATGAGTTTGTTATTTGTGTTCGAATAACCAGAGTTGAACTTTTACACAATGTTCGATTATTTATATTTGAACAAAACAATTTTGTTCAAATTATTAAGATTGAACAAATATTAAATGTTCATACATAAAAAATTGAACATTTTAAGTTAGTTCGGTTAAAATAAATTAAACTTTTATTCATTGTTCAGATATAAATTTTTGAACACATTAAGTTTGTTCAACTTTGTATTCTTGAACATGACTAATTTGATAATCTATAACCACCCAATGTAGCAATGTTCAAACTGGTTGTGTTGTTGACTACAAAAGTGAATTTGTTACGAAAGAAATATGCTCATGTTTCAAGACAATATAAATGAATAGTTTTTATTTTGTTTTGTTTTTAATTTTCAAAATGTACTGAACTTGTTTTTATTTTATATGTAGGTTTTCAAAAAAAAAGAAGCATTACTCAGTTGGGTAAGTCAAATTGGTAAAAGAAATGGATTTGTTGTAATCAAGCTTTAGGTTATAGCAGCGGTCATAGACAGCCAAGGATATATCTTGCTTGTGAGAGTTGAATGTAGAATCGAAGAAAACAGTTTCAAAATTAACTGGGACAAAGAAGTGTGGTTGTCCTTTCAATTTGAGGACTCACAAGTTAGTGGAGGATGATGATTGGATATTGGAGGTCGTATGTGGAATGCATAACAATCCACCTGTAGAACATCTTGAAGGACATTCATATGCAGGAAGATTATCAGAAATGAAACTACGTTACCTGTGGGTTTGTCAAAGAGTTTGGTAAGACCAAAAGAGATTTTGGCTCCTTTGAAACAAAGGGATATCCTAAATATAACCACAATGAAAATAATTTACAATTTACATCATAGGCAAAAGGTTATAGAGATAGCTGGGAGATCACAAATGCAACAGTTATTAATTGAATTGGAAAAATGTAATTACATTGAGCGGCATAGGTGTGACGAGAAGACGATGACTTTGATAAACATCTTTTGGGCACATCCTATGAGCACAGATATCGTAGTGTTTATTGATGATGACGATGACGATGACGATGACTTTGACTTTAACTTTGCAGGGAGCACAAATTTTTTCAAAAATTGATTTGAGATCGGGATATCATCAATTGAAAATTAAGGTTGAAGATGTTGAAAAGCGGCCTTCCGAACCAGGTATGGACATTATGAGTTTTAGTCATGCATTTTGGAGTTACAAATGCACCCGCAGCAGTCATGGATTTGATTAATAGAATTTTCAAACCCTTCTTGGATGAATTTATCGTAGTTTTTATTGATGATATTCTCATATATTCGAAAAATAGAGATGATCATGAACAACATTTAAGACAAACTCTCCAAATACTTAGAGAAAAACAGTTATATGGGAAATTCAAAAAGTGTGAATTTTGGCTTGATGAAATTGCATTTTTGGGGCATATCATTAATAAGGATGGTATATCTGTGGATCTTCATAAAATTGAAGCAATCATTAACTGGCCTACCCTGACTAATGTATCAAAAGTTCGTAGTTTGATGGGATTGGCAGGTTATTATCAGAGATCTGTTAGGGACTTTTCAAAAATTGATGTGCCATTGACTCAGTTGACCTGGAGAGGGGAACCATTTGAATGGATAGATCAGAGAGAAATAGCCTTTCAAAAGTTGAAAACAAGACTGACTACTGCTCCAATTCTCATTATTCCCTCAGGTACCAAAGGTTTTATGATCTTTAGTGATGCATCTTATAAGGTTTTGGGTTGTGTTTTAATGCAGAATGGCAAGATGATTGCATATGCCTCTCGACAGTTGAGACCACACAAGAAGAACTACCCTACACATGACTTGGAACTTGCTGCAGTTGTGTTTGCATTAAAGATATGACGTCACTATTTGTATGGGACCAAATGCAAAGTGTACACAGATCATAAGAACTTGAAATATTTCTTCACACAGAAAAAGTTGAACATGCGTCAAAGACGATGGCTTGAACTAATCAAAGACTATGACTTGCAAATCCACTGTCATCCGGGTAAAGCCAATACTATAGCAGATGCACTTAGTAGAAAGAATGTGGGGAATCTTGCCTATTTACTCACAGATCAGAGAGAACTGCTACTAGAGTTTGAAAAACTCAAAATTGAAATTGTACCTTTTGAACAAGGTAGCTTGATAGCTGCGATGTCTGCCCAGCCTGCCATTATCGAGGAAATTAAGCAGAAACAAATGAATGACGAGTTTTTGAAAAAGATTTGTGATGAACTTGATACCAAGCCTAAACCGAGATTCATAATTGAAGATTCTATGTTAAAATTTCAAGGGAGATTGTGTGTTCCAAATAATATGGATTTGAAAAGGAAATTTTGGAAGGAAGCCCACAAATCAATGTTTGCTATGCACCTAGGAAACACCAAAATGTACCAAGATTTGAAATTAGTGTATTAGTGGCCCAACATGAAAAGAGAGATTGCCAACTTCAACTCTAAATGCTTACAATGCCAACAAGTAAAAGCAAAACATTAGAAACCAGCAGGTTTCCTTCAGTCCCTTCCTATTCCGAAATGGAAATGGGAGCATATCACCATGGATTTTGTAGTTGGCCTGCCTCGAACACCTAAAGGTATGGATTCTATTTGGATTGTAGTTGATAGACTGACTAAATTTACCCATTTTCTTTCCGTAAAGACTTCTTTTACTACATATAGACTTACTACTATCTACATTGATGAAATTATTCGACTACATGGGGTTCCAGTGTCTATTGTATCAGATAAGGATCCTAAATTTGTTTCTAGATTTTGGCATAACTTGCAGGAGGCAATGGGAATAGAATTGAGATTTAGTACATCTTTTCATCCACAAACCGATGGGCAAACTGAGAGGACTATTCAGACCTTAGAAGACATGCTTCGTATGTGTGTTTGGGATTTTTAAGGCAACTGGGAAACTTATTTACCATTGGTTGAGTTTGCTTATAACAACAGTTTCCACGCTAGCATTAATATGGCACCATATGAGGCGCTATATGGAAGAAAATGTAGATCTCCAACTTGTTGGGTAGAGGTTGGTGATAAGGCTATTTATGGGGCTGAACTTGTGCAAGAGACGACTGAAAAGATCAAAATCATTCAGCAAAGGCTTAAAACTGCGCAAAGCTGACAGAAAAGCTATGTGGATCAGCGAAGAAGAGACTTAGAGTACGAAGTGAGAGATCATATATTCGTCAAGGTGACCCCAATGAAGGGGCATATGAGATTTGGCAAAAGAGGAAAACTGACTTCACGTTATACGAACCATTTCAGGTTCTTGAGAAATTGGGTCCTGTTGCTTACCGTATTGCCTTGCCACCGGGAATGGAACAGGTGTATAATGTTTTCCATGTATCCATGCTCCGTGGGTATCTTAGAGATCAGTTCCATGTGGTTAATCACCACCGGATTGCCTTAGACGAGGATATGATGTATGAAGAATTGCCCGTACAAATCATCGATCGGCAAGTGAAGCAATTGAGGAACAAAACTATCCCTATGGTGAAAGTCGAATGAAAAGAACATTATAGGAAGGAGGCTACTTTGGAGAAAGAGGAAGAGATACAGCAACAGTATCCACATTTGTTTCCATTATAAGGTAACTTAAGTTTGGAAGACTAAACTTTCTAAAGATGAGAGACTGTGACGGCCCCAACCTCCAAACTAGTATATTATGTTATTTTAATGAGCCTAATTGCATGATTGTGCGTTTACTTATGTGATTACATGTTTAATTTTGTAATTATCTGTTATTACATGGAATATATGTTCGAATTGACCACTTAGAGACAGAAATTCAGAACCTAGACGGCTTCAAAAACTAAAATTGACTAGCCCAATAGGTTAACTATAATATTTAGAATTTTATGGCAACTTTAATTGAAATTTGATTTGGATCAAAATAATTAGAATAAACAGAATGAATTAGTTAGAATTAAGCCTAGTTAATTAACCTTAATCATATTTGATTTGGCTAACTTAATTACACCCTATATAAGGCTCTAATTAAGCTTATAGGCTCATTTTATAACTCTTGGCTGAGAATTGAGAGAGAAGGGAGGAGACCTCAACACATTTAGAGAGAGAAAGAGGAGATTTGTAGAGAATTGGTGGAAGATTCAAAGATTGGAGCCATAATACACATAAATTCACACATTAGGTATGAGATTCATCCTAAATTCTTAGCTTTGAATCATGTAGAAACTAAGTTCATGGAGTTATAGGATCATTTGTTTGAATTTGAATAGGTTGAGCATGAGTTTTCATGAATATGATGAATTTGAGTTGAATTATGCACATGCATGCTTAATTCTTCATTTTTGAGTTAAGATTTCTTGAAATTCATACATGCATGAAGCTTAGGAAGCATGAGCTTGAAGATTATCCATGGATTCATGCATTTCATATCATTTAGTGGTGTTTTAACATGAAGAGGACTCAATCCATAGCATGCATGGCTTTAACTTGAAAATTTAAGCTTGAATTTGGACAATTGGAACATGATTTTGAATAAATGGTTTCAAATTAGAAGTATTTTCATGTTATATAATGATTCTCTGAGTTTTTATACCACAAACACAAGTTTTGAGGCTTTGAATATCAACCTTGAAGATCAAACACAGTTCTAGAAATTCCAGAATTCGTGTTGTCTGCTCAAGCGAGGAAAGCTTCGCTCGAGCGTGAAAATCGAGCTCCCAAAAGTTTTCTGAAATTTTACAAGTTGCTCGAGTGAGGACCCCTTTTCTACTCATTGTCCGCCTGAGCGACCGTTGAGTGGGAATTTCATGCAACCAGAACTTTTATCAAAATTTGCAGACCGCTCGAGTGACGGAAGTTACGCTCGAGCGGCCACCTTTGTTTTTGATCCCCCGCTCGGGCGTGGACTCTGTTTTCAGCAAATTTTGAGAAAATCTTCTAAGTGCAAATTTGCATCCTCATGCCACTCCAAGTGTTCTTAGGCACCATTTGGACTCATATAATCGTAGAACAAGCTAGCAATACATATAGAGAGTTAAAATGAGTTGGTGCCTCAGTTGTATTTATGTTATATGTTTTGTTTTAGGTGGACGTCCGAGGCTTAGTGACAACACAAACCACTATGAGTAATAACTTTATAAAGATATGCTCTCTTTATACTTTCAAAAATGTTATTGTCATTGAAATAGATTGTGATTGATTGAATGAATTTTTAAAACGATATGATGATTGATAGCATAGCTCATTAAAATGTTATTTTCTTATAATGAATGAAGTTCTATTTCGAAATGGTTTTGTGGCACCCATTGAACATTGACCCTTGGCTGGAGGAGATTAATACCAAGGTCATTGACCCTTGCTTGGGGGAGATTAATACCAAGGCCATTGACCCTTGCCTGAAAGAGATTAATACCAAGGCCATTGACCCTTGCCTGGGGGAGATTAACACCAAGGCTATTGAATTGGTTAAAACACAGAGACCTCTAGTGTTAGACCCATCGTGGTCCATTGTTATTGAAATATTGTTACTCTAACGGATATGCCACACGTATGAATGAAATGATTACTAATGCTAAGACTGGTACTTGTAATGATAATGAACTTTATTCATATAACCTCTTTATCCTGTTATTACTCATTGGGCATTAGCTCACTATTTATGTTTATATATATATATATATATATATGTAGGTGAGCATGTTGAACATCAAGGATAGAGAACACCTCGGAGTCACCCCGTGGTCAGCCTTTTGTGGAGCTCCCGAGATGGAGCCACTTGGACTCATGATGAGCCAAGCAAGCTTAAACCCCCTTTTGTTATGAACTCTTAGTTGAATTTTGGTATAGGGTTATCAAGTTGAATTGTGGCTAAACCTCTGTTTGTTTTGTTTTCTTTCTTCTTTTTGAAAGTTTTTGTAATGTATGAGTACCTACCTTTGGAATGGTTGAACAATGCTATTGTGAACTCTTTTCATTTATGCACGGCTCGATGGACTTCTATATTTACTTTGCCCCCACTAAGGCCCGTACTTTATATTAAGAGATCCTTTCGTATAGAGGCCGTAGGTGATCTATGATTACTGGCCGGTCATGACGCTAAACC